CCTTTTATTTAATACCTGTATTACTTTTCCTATTTCTATAGTCCCTCTTATCCCCTCTCATTGATAGCTACTCAGATAAACTTGATATGTGTATTTGAATCTCTGTGTAGCCTCATAAAATATTGCAGGTTGTTTTGTATGTGTGTTTACTTTTGACTTTTTAAGTTTGAAACGATTTCACTTTTACAGAAATATTGCAATAGTAGAAAGATTTACCATGTGTTCTTCACCCAGATTCAAAATAGTTAAGATTTTACAAGACTTATTTTATCTCTTTCTGTATATGTACATAAATATTATTCTGATCTCTTTGAGAGTAAGTTGTAGACATTATATTCTTTATTCCTAAACATTTCAGCATGTATTTTCTAAGAACAAAGGATATTCTCTTACATAGCCATTGTACAATGATCAAATTACAAAGTTTGACAGTGATACACTACTATTATCTAGTATACAGTTCATACTCCAATTTCATTTATTGTCCCAGCAGTGTTTTCTGCAGCATTTTTTTCTCCCTAATCCAGTTTCCATTGCATTTACTTGTTATCTTTTGAATATTTAATCCGGAATAATTCTTCAGACCTTTTTGTTATTCAAGATTGTGTATGTAACTTTTGTTTACTTATATGGTGTAGTGCTAAAGATCTTGTTCCCTTTCATATTTTTTTTTACTGTTTTTAAGATCCACTCATATAGGCCAGATGTGGGGGCTCATGCCTGCAATTCCAGCACTTTGGGTGGCCAAGATGGGAGGATCACTTGAGCCCAGAGTTTGAGATCAGCCTGGGTGATATAGTGAGACCCCATCTTTATGAAAAATTTAAAAATTAGCCAGGTTTGGTGTTGCACACCTGTGGTCCCAGCAACTTGGGAGAATGAAGTGGGAGGATTCCTGGAGCACAGGAGGTCAAAGTTGCAGTGAGCCATGATTGCACCACTACACTCCAGCCTGAGTGACAAGTGAGACCCTGGCCCCCTTACCCCTGCAAAAATCCAGTAATATTAATGTGTAGACATCTATCTTGTTTGTTGCTTCTAACTTCTGCTTAGTATTCCATAATATACATCTGCCAAAAAAGAAAGATATTTTATACTCTAGCCTGAACATTCTATTAGAGGAATCTTTTAAAGCTGATGCCATGCATGTTAGTTATAAACTTACATTGCGCTTTGTATCACTGTAAGTGAACTATTTGACATTGCCAGATCATTTCTTGGGTTTCTTATATTTTAAATACATATATTCTCTTAGATGATTAACACCTAAATCCTTAAGACAACTATCTGCATCTGACACCTAAACTACAAAGATTGTTAGTAGAAATAAAACTCAGGATTTTCTCCTTCAGTACTTGAGTTAATTAGTTTTAAAATGTATTGGCTTACATAACTCTGAAAGGATTTTTAAAAATCATGTACCTTATTGTGTATTTTTCAGTTGATGTCTAAAATTTTCCTTTTATGTCTAAGTAATTGCAAAGAATAGAATTTCCAGTGTTGCAAATATTTTTATTTAAAAGTAGAATTGATATATCCCTCTCTTAAGTATATGCAGTTTAATCTAAATGCCATAGCAATTAGGTAACTATCAAAATGCATTTAAAAAATACATGAACAGGTTCTATAGTCAAAATTTACATCATTTTCCTTTCTTTTAATTCAGTGTGCTAATTTCCCTTTTGAACTTTATCTTAATATATATTTTAATATATCCTAATATATTTTAAAAGATATTTTATGCTTGAGTATTTTAAATTATATACTGTATCATATTCTCTACAGCAAAAACATGTATATTAAAATTTATTAATTTGTATATGTGATCAGAAAGAAAATAAAAATTTTCTTCTGGATTTAGTTTTCATTACATTACAGTAATTATTAGTTTCAGTGATTGATTGGAAGAACATATACATATTACAAATTTTGATAAATAATTAAATACATAAGTTTCTATGAGAAGACATATAGTTAATTGGATGTATTTTTTCAATTATTGCATTTGTCTCTGTGTTGAAGCAGGATTTCAGCATCAATTCAATTTCTATAGATGTGAATGCTGAAAAAAATTTGTTCACATAAGGAGTAAACAAGGATAAAAGGACTTTATTACAGAAATATCACTCAACTCTTTGAACTCCTTTTGAATTATTTATCAAAATATAACCATGGGTATCTATCATCAAAGAATAGTTTTAACCATTGATCAGCTGATAATTTGATTATGTGCTCCTGCAAACCTCATAAAAGTGAGGAATTGGAAACTACCTGATATGGTTTAATTAAAATCATTCATCAAAAGTTATTCTCTTAACATTGACACAAATGTTCAATTGACGGTTTTCTTGGCACCATGTTTTTATACTCCAAGGCAATGCACTATTGTAAAATTATAGACAGGAGAAAGATATACCTTTCTTTTGTAAGACGGGAGATAGGATTTTGAAAGTAGAAGCTTGACTTTTTTTAGAAAAGAGTACATAAGGAGTCTAGAATCTCAAAATTGATTCTCATAAAGCCGTCTGTGCCTGTCTGCACACCTATCTTAAAATGAAACAGGGATACGTATAAAATTGCTGCTAAAAGGAAATAGTATTTTTAAAGCTATCGTTACTTGAAAGGAATCATAGTGTTATTAACACAGTAGCATCAACCTTTCAGAGAAATAAGGAACATTGCACATTTATACTACAGAGGTTTTTATGTAAATGCATAGTTTTTTGTTTTCTGAGGCAGAGTGTCATTCTTGTTGCCCAAGATGGAGTGCAATGACAGGCTCTCAGCTCACCACAACCTCTGCCTCCCAGGTTCAAGCAATTCTTCTGCCTCAGCCTCTGGAGTAGCTAGGGTTACAGGCATGCGCCACCACACCAGGCTAATTTTGTATTTTTAGGGGAAACGGGGTTTCTCCATGTTGATCAGGCTGGTCTCGAACTCCTGACTCAGGTGATCCGCCCGCCTTGCCCTCCCAAAGTGCTGTGATTACAGGTGTGAGCCACTTTGCCCACCTGTAAATGCATAGTTGATTGTTTTGACAGCATGTATGTCTGATTCGACACACTTGAAACTTCACCTTCACATTCCTTGAAGACCATTCAAAGAGACTAACTCTACTGTGTTGAGGTCAGACTAGAATATTAAATATTGGTGTTCTTGGAAAGTTATTTGATGTTTTAATTTAGGGCTATGTATGCTCTCATACACTATTCTTTGCTTATTTTTCTACCTCCACCTCCTGAATTACTAGCTCTTCCTAATATGTGTATGTGCACATTTGTGGGGCAGGGAGAATATATATATAAAGAATATAAATATATATAAATATAATATAAACATATATAAAGAATATATATATATATATATACTTGGAGACAGAGTCTCCTTCTGTCACCCAGGCTGGAGTGTAGTGGCATGATCTCAGCTCTCAGCTCACTGCAACCTCCTCCTCCTGGGGTCAAGTTATTCTCATGCCTCAGCCTCCTGAGTAGCTAGAACTATAGACATGCACCATGATGGCTGGCAAATTTTTTCTGTATCTTTAGTAGAGACAGGGTTTCACCGTGTTGACTGGGCTGGTCTCAAGCTCCTGACCTCAGGTGATCCTCCTGCCTCGGCCTCCCCAAGTGCTAGGATTACAGGCGTGAGCCATTGTGCCTGGCCTATGTGGGCATATTATATGTCTTTATTATAGCTCTTTTTATATTGTACTTCTGAAAGTCAATTCATTCTGTTTCCTAAGCATGTCTCAAATCTAATTCCACCTGTTTATCCAGCACCCTCATTTAGACCAGAATCAGTTCTCAGTTGGTAATTATCTTCTGACTACTCCCCTGGCTCCATTTTCTTCTCACTTCAGGATCTCCACCATGGAGTTACTACAAGACAGATCAATTCCATATTCCCTGACTAGGAAATATTCAGTTGCTCTTACTTACAAATATTTCATGTTTCTATGCTGCCAAGAGGACTGATATTAATATTTACTTGTATTAATTATCTTGTACTTACCTATTCTCAACTACCTTCCCAGAGTTTTTCTCTAAGCAACCATCCTCATCTATTTTGCACTCTATTGACATTTTCTTGAACACATATCATGGTGCACGTATTAGAATATATGTCATAACGGACATGTAAATTTATTTTCTTAGTAATATTTAACCTAAACTTCTGGCTACTTGTGAAGAAAGGTTAAAAAAATGTATACGTAATCTGTGTTACACATAAGTTGTATAAACACACACACACACATACATATGTTATGTATTGGGTATATTCTTTTCAGAAAAACATTTCTGTTGTAAAAATGTGTTTTCAGATCACATTGTTAGCACTAAGCATGGCTATATAATACATGAAAAAATATGACAAAGAAAATATTTTAAAATGAAAGAGGCCATGATAAAGAGAAACCGTAATTCTTAAATATATCGCTGGTTTTCAAAAGGTATTTTGAAACACACATAAACACAACCACGAATTATATGTGTGTTAAATTCTTTTATCAATATTGATAAGAAAAAGAACTTCTGTATTTGGCCCATAACCTAAAACTCAACTGATCATAGTATCTTCTTATAATTCTCTTTTGGATTCAGCATAGTGAGACAGGATGAACACTAACAAGTTAAAAGGCAGGTTCTGCAATTCCAACACTTGAAATGGTGCAATCTTTAACAGGTTGTTTATCTTTGCTAAATCTGTTTTCTCACTTATAAAGTAAGGATTAATGTATAATACATTCAGCTCAAAGAGAAATTGAAACATGAGATAACAGGTGAGAGTATATGATTAAATTTAAGGAGATTTAGACATGTATTGTATCACTGAATTATTTCTTAGTCTCTTTAATTTTAATCCGAAATTTCTTTAGAAGATCTGGCCTATCCTGATGGAAGGTGTATGTTGATAAAGCTAATAAATGGCCAAATAAGGAAACAAAGGGTTTTTTTTTTCTTGTTTATTTACTCTGTGTTTCTTCCTCATTTAAAAAACAGTTTTGGTATGAACCATGATGGAATTGGAAATTCTTGTGGGACAAAAGGTCATGAAGCAGCAAAACTTATGGCAGCTCACATTACTGCGAATACCAATCCTTTTTCCTGGTCTGCGTGCAGTCGAGACTACATCACCAGCTTTCTAGAGTAAGTAGTCTCTGGAGAGTGATGATGAATTGCTCCAGAAGTAAGCTGTTGGTAGAAGCCTAATATATAGTGCTTTCAGCTTTGCATAATGAGTAATTTTATAGGGTCTAGTGATGTTTCAACTGTTTCCTAAATACTTTAATATATCATTGTGGCCATTTTTTTCTTTATATAGAACTTTTATAGAATAGAGGAAGTGGAGCAAGGATATAAGTGGGACTGATGGTGTGAGTGTTAAAACTGTTCAATAAATGGGAGACAATTTCAGAAAGCATTTAGATTTACATGATTTAATAGCACATATGCCAAACTTAAGTTCAGTGATTATATATTTTATTTTGTTAGTGAAAAAAATGAGTTCTATAGGAGAGCCAAAGTATCTAATAGTAACAAACAACAACAACAAAAAACCAAACACCAAGGAAATGAATACTTTGAGAAAAAGTATTAAGCGATTGATTTTTCTACAGTTTGAAAACTTTTTGGTCCTTTAATGTATATTCCAAGAGTCTGGTTATTTAAATGTGAGGAATATAAATTAGCTTGGGTATAACTATGTTAAGGAAATTAGATGTTCTTCCACATCTCACTTGCATAGGGCTTCATTATTGTACTTTGGAAACTGATGTACTTGGGTCTCACTTTCTAACTGTGTGACCTTGGGGGTTAAGGTTCCTTAACTTTTCTAATCTTCAGTGTCCTAAGTTGTTAAATGAATTTAAGTCATACTGTTTATGTCATCACGTATTATATATGTAATTATGCATCATGCTATATTGTATATAAAACACATAACATTCTTTAAATGGTAAATATTATTTTAAATAATATCAAGATTTCTGTGCTTTATTGCTCTACCCTTATTTTTAACTGTTTTGTGCCATTTTTTTCCCCCTGAGGAGGAGAAATTAAATACTCTGTGTAAAAGTGAGGTCTACATACATAAAGTACAGGCCAGCAATGGAAATTCTTCTTAAAAATTGGCTGTGTTCAAAGTTCATATTAACAGGATTATATTGTGAAATTTTAAAACTTCAAACAGGTTATATAGGGTAACATTATTTATTAAAATGTCCTTTATATCTACTAATAGCCAGAGCAAAGCATATGTTTTGAAAACCGTGATTAGTATTTTTAAAAGGTCACAAACAAGAGATTTTAAATTACCTAGCACAATGGTTTACTAAAAAAAAGAAAATCAAAAGATAAATGTTTAAAATCAGCTCTTTTAAATTAATTAATGTAATAATAAAGTCGAAGGAATTTGAAAATTATTTCAGAAGGTAGTTCTTCTGATAACCATATTATAACCTAATAATTTTTAATCTTAGTAACAGAGAATTGTAAGATTATACTTGCCTACGGTGAAACTGATTGAGGTGCTATAAAGGTAGACCACAGAGCATTTGTGTATCTTTTGGTAGTTCTTAATACAAAGCACTAGCAATATCATTTTATAAGGTGGTTTTAATGAGATCATTTACCTAAATTTTAAACATTTTTGATGGTCTGCACTCCCTAGACATCAAGTCAGATCTGGAATTTCTCCCTTGACTTGGCTCATGTTTTTATAATGGAGTCTTACTGTTCATCCCCAGAAAGACAAACTGTATAACATACTCAGGATTCTTGTGCATTTCTGATGGTTGCCCTTGTTGTTGTTGTTTTATTTTTTTTGGTACCATTTTCTCCTCTATCTTGTTTCTGTCTCATTGGCTATATTGCACAGCTCATTTGCTAGTACCATCTCTGTATGCTAAATACAAAGACCTGTTCTGATCTCCTGCCAGATCTTGTCTACTTGAAACTATTGAGACTAAGACACTCCAAAAGAGAATCCCTAAATTGCTGGTAAAATACAGTTTAAAAATCACCACTGGTTTGGTGAGGGACATAAAAGTATTACTAGTTTCAATAAAGTGTTCCAATGAATTAATGAAAAGAATTGATCCAAAAAGCATTATTTAAGCCTTATTGCCTCTGCACATTTTGTATGTGTAAGCATTAGTGTTGACAGGGTTCTAATGGGATTATTTATCCTATATTTTATAAAAATATTTCCCCTCATGGGAATGTTCACAAAGTTAAAACTCGTAATGAAAGATAGATGTGAAGCACAATGGGTAGAGACTTTGGGAAAACTTGGCTTTCCCCCCTTTTTAATAATAAACTAAACAAATCTGATTATAATCTGACCAAGCAATAAAGGGTTTTTAAACACAAGGCTCTTTAAAAAGTTCAGTTCACTGGAGCACAAAGACATAACAGTAACTTACTTGAATTTCTTTGTTCCTTTTTATTAATGCAGTGAACTTAATTGCTTTAACAGCTATGCGTGATATTTTTTAAAATCTAGTGCTATTTTGATCAGGGATTGAGGTTACATTTATGTTTTATAGTTGGCTCGAAATGGCTCATAACATTTTATTTTAGCTTCTCTTCTCAAGAAAAAGAAATCTCGAAAGATGAATTGTTTAGGAACTGCAGCCCAGCCAACAAAACGCATACCTGTCTCCATTTAGTGGCTGTATAGGCCAAAGATGATGGTGGATTTTAACAATGAGCTTTCTATGATTTATAGAGATTCACTATTCACTGTTCAACTGAAAATGATTCCATGGCCTTTAAATGCCAAAAGAATACAAAGTCTCTCGTGTCATTCTAAAACACTAGGTGCTATTGATCAATCAGGAGATGGTGTTTACCAACTCCCAATATTTTTTTTCAGATTTCTTAAACTCGGTGATTCAATAAGTGGTTCATGAATCGCCCAGAAGCCGTCCTGATTAAATAATAAAGAACCAATTTCCGTTAAAATGGACGTGTTATGCCTGCTTCTGATGTTTTCCGGCGACGGCTTTGCAGGTAGTGTCTTTCCTATCTGCCTGCGGGACTTATTTATTTATTTATTTAGAATATAAAGAAAGGTGAACCTGGTATAAGGCTCAGACTCATTGATGACTATGGGCTAATTTACCAGGCAGTGGAAGACAGCCAGAAGTAATTTAAGCCAGTTTTTCATACATTTTCCACCACTTGGCAATAGTGCAGAATAATTGCATATAGTTTTCAAAACTTATTATGATTTGTGAATCAACTGTTGCTCTATAAAATTAAAGTCTGTTAACTTGTTTGAACTGTCAAAGATCCATAGCAAAATTTCCTACAGTTCCAAATTCAAAACAAAGGAGACATTTTCACAAAAAGGATGGAAGCTGAACATATTAAGAGAAGCAATGTTATGGTCAGAGTTGACCTAGGAAGAAAGGTGACTGTAGAGCTAAAAGAGAAGTGATACAAGATGAGCAAGCTGACCAAAGCACTCACATTTCTGCTCTAGCAGTGACCTTCAAAGGTCAACATCAGGCTGTTATATAGAAAACAATCTTTATAGTTGGGACCTTTTTTTAAAAAAAAATTAAATGTAGAATCTAAGAAAGACCTTGGCAAAACAGGTTTCTCCTCCTTCTGTTTATCTGTTACATTTGGGGAATCTTGCTGTAACCATAAATAACTTTGATAAGTCGTAATTATATATAGGGTAAAAAAAGTAAACCACTCTCAATACAGTACTTTTGTCTTGAAAGCTTCAAGTTTAGTTATATGAAGGGTGAGAGAAAAAGATTTGCCTTAGAAGGCACTGTTAGCTTCATTGAGAAGATTGACAAAGCAGTTTATGAGAATATACTACATAAGACAGTTGACTTGCTATAGATGATATCAACCCAATTCATTTTTGCTTAATTTATGTGAATCAGCACAACTTAGTAAAATAAAAATAGGAAGTGGCATTAAGTGTTAACTTTTTGTTGTTGTTGTTAAGAGATTGTTAAGATATGCACAGGGTTATATAGAAAGATTTATTTTTCAGATTGACCCACTGTATTGAAGACTAAAAGTGTGTATTTTATGGTATAACTGTTTTAGTGAAAATACATCTAACATCACAATTAGGAATACATCTTAATGTGTTATGGAAACAAAGCCAGGAGTGCATATTTTACATAACGATCTGTAAGTTTTTGCTGATGACTGAACTTTAACTCATATTCCTATTTTCAAGGCTAATTTTTGGACTACGTAAATAAGATCTCTCTAAATTAGAAATAGAATTTATAAAATAAGACTTTCTCATCATGCTACAAACATTTTGGGAAATGTAAATATACTCTGATTTACTACGAATTTTGTAATCAAGGAAGAAGTATATTATAAAACTAATGCTTTTTTTGCTTAATCTTAGAAGCATAAACAAAAAATAGAGTCTAGGAATTACATAATGATCAGTGTTGCTGTAGCTATTAACTAGGGTTTGGCTTTTTAGTTGTGATTATATGCTGCTAAGAAAATAATCACAGATGTACTTTTCACATATACAGTTTTGCTCTGACAAGTATATGTTTTATAATAAGTTGTAATTACATCTCCTGGATGAAGAGTAACACTATTCTACATTTGATTTAATAATGAATGAGGTTCATGTTTTCTGAGTGGAAAAATTCACATATGACACCAATGTACAAACCATCTATGTTTAAAATTATTTGATGAGAAGTTTTGTATATAATATCACTACAGTGCCAGTATAATTTTGATAGTAGCATAGGTAACATTAGACATTGTAAGAATTGTATAGTTACATCTCAATTAACTAGAACACTAGATTAAATAAAAATTTCCTGTAAATTTTATTTTTTTAAATGAGATAATTACAAAATATAAGACAACAACTTATATCTAATATTTTATGAAAGGAAATATTAGGTTGCTGCAAGTAATTGCAGTTTTTACCATTAAAGTCATTGCAAAGTGAAATTACTTTTGCACCAACCTAACAGATTTACATATTTATACCAGGAGCCATACAAAAAGTGTTCATATCAGCATAAGTTTCAATTCTTAGAAATTGGAAATAATCCAGATGTTTATTGGTAGAGGAATTATAAATAATTGTGACATACTCATAAATGGACTATTAAAGAACAGTAAAAATGCACAGGCTACAAATTACATTTACACACATTAACATAGAAGTATCTCATATTCACAATATTGAGGAAAAGAATAAAATCACAAAAAAATGCCTACAGTATGACTACTTTTATATAGGGTCCCAAAACAGGCAGATGAATAATTAGACAGTAAGATTATTAAGCAAAGCAATGAAATTATTATTATAAAAAATCAGAATAGTAGTTACCTCTGGGAGTGGGGAGAAATAAAGGATATGACTGGAATTAAGCACTTGAGAATTTTCATAGGAAAAGCACTCCCAGGGTTAAATATACATTGCCCACCTCTATGTATTCTACCTCTGTACTTGTATCTGTGATATTTCATAATGGTAATTGATCACTGAAAGGCATGAAAAATCCAGAATTATTATTGTAAGAATTAATTAGTAACTAATAATTATGATCTTAATTACTTGACTTTAATTACTGGAACATAGCAGGAAAGTAGCAGACAATTTTAGTTAACATAATGCAAGAAGCATTTTTCTTGCTTAACCCTTAGTTAGCAAATAATAGGCTGGATGCAGTGGTTCATGCCAGAACTTTGGGAGTCTAAGGCAGGAGGAACTCTTGAGACCAGGAGTTCTAGACCAGCCTGGGCAAGATGGTGAGATTCTGTATTTACAAAAGATACAAAAATTAGCCAGGCATGATGCCGAATGCCTCTGGTACCAGCTACTCGGGAGGCTGAGGTGGGAGGATCTCTTGAGCCTAGTAGTTCAAGGCTGCAGTTAGCTGTGATCATGCCACTTCACTCCAGCCTGGGTGACAAAGCAAGACCCCATCTTAAAGCAAAACAAAGCAAAGAATTAAAACAGGAAAAATATCCCATCCCTCAAATATTTAAATCAAGGTTTTACTGTATATACCAGATATGGTTACGAGAAGGAAAATGTACTACATATGTATAAACGTGTAGAAATGTACAAACAATTTAAATCCACCTTGCAGATATATCCCCACATTTGTTTTACTGGAAGACCCTTGAATTGTAAGCCTTGCTAATTTATACAAATATAGCCAAATCCATTTCAAAAGTTCTTTATTTATTCCATGTTTCTAAATACAGGTTCATTTTTAAAGATCCATATGGTTTTCCTGTATATTTTATTTCGTATGGTGTTTTATTCTTCCGTAAAAATATACTGGAAAAGGAGAACAAGACTTGTCTAGACCACATTAATACAAGGCAATAGATGCTTCCAAAGAACTGAAACAAAAATAAACCTCCAGGATAAACTTTCTTAGAAGAGTTTTGGCCACAGGTGCCTGCAAGTTCATGGCATTCTTGGTGGTATAAAGGCCACGGCAGTGGTCCTCTGGTTTGGTATTTTTTTAAAGAACCTGAACCATGATTAGAAGACCACTAATATTGATATATTGAAACAATAGTTTTAAATGAAGCAATTATTCTTGCTTCCTTCTGGGTTAAGTCATTTTCCAATTTGCCATCAGAAAAGAATTTTTTACTCAGGGTATCTATTCTTAAACTCTTCTTTGGGGTCCACATAGTTCTTCCTCTGATTCTGGGTTAATTTTATATATTACTAAAAGTAATTATAATCATTTTTAATATAGTCTAACTTGGTGTCACTTAGGTGAATGTATCCTACACTTTTTTGATTATGCAATTGTAAATATTTTTTGCCTATTGGATACCTACTTAAGTAAACAATTTAAAATAAATATTTTCTATCAAAAAGATTTATAGTAGTATTTGTTATGTTATTTTTATTACATTTTAATTCCTTTCATAAAGACATTTATAAACATAAGACATTCTATCAACAATAAGTTGATAGAAATGAAACAGATATTTTAGAAGAAAATTGGGGAATGAAACTACTAATTCATTTATCTCACCAATATTATATTAACAAAATGATTCTTTTTTTATTGTGTTATTCAAATATGACCTCTTTGTCATTAACCTTAATATATAACTTAAAATTTACTAGTAGCATTACATTTGCCTAAAGTTTGCATATCCTTATAGATTAAAGATATTTTACTTAATAAAACAAAAAAAAGCGTTCTATTTTAAAAATTCATCTAGAAGTTATTTTTCTTGCTGAGGTACATGTCAACTTCTAAAAGTATAATAAAAAGGAAATTAAAAAGTGTTCCATTATGAAAACTGGATAGCTGGGTGAAAAACGGTTGTTCTTTGTTAGTTAGACACCTTGAGCGGTGACAACTGAAATTATTGTAGTGGCCAATGGTCAAATTCATCTATGTTAGTACCATACTTAATATTCCATCTAAATATTTCTTATTGGTTAAAAAATTAGTCAGGAGGGCATGAAAGAAAGAGGAAGGATATAAAGAAGACAGTATTCTGTCCCTTTGGTCTTTGACTCTAATCACCTTAGAAATAGTATGGTTCAGTTTTTTAAAGGTATTAATTTGCTGTTGTGTGTGAAATACCTTTTAATATAACAGATTGACTTTGACATGTTAGGAATATGAGAAACTTCTAACTGAATAAGAAACTCATTGTAATGCATAGTTCTTTGTTAGTTATCTATAAATGAAAAATTGTACTGTCCTAAATAACAGTTGAGGAACTTCTACTTGTGAAATTATTTTCCTTTGGCAAAGTGGATGGAAAAGATTTGGGAAAAAAAACACACAAGTGCTGGCACAATGGACAAGAATGTTGGAAAAAATTTTTAAATGTTGGCATAGGAATTCTTTAAAAATTCTAACTCACTCACATGTGAAATGAAAGTAGAAAAGCATCTGTCCTATTTTATGCACACTGACTAAATAAAAATGAACAATTATATTTAGCAAAGTTTAAAGCTCTTTAAACTAAGGTATTCTGTCTGGGTTTTGGCGACCTTTATGTTATTTGTTCCACTGAATTAAAATATTATGTTTGAGTGCAGGCATAGCTTGAAACGCAGAAATTATACAAAGAAGAGAATATTCTCTTTTCCAATTCTGATGATACTAGATGAAATATGAAATTTTGAGAGACTAAACACTTCTAATATACTTGAGAGGAAAACTTTGGTCCTTGGCCTCATCTGTCATTCAGCCCGTTTATTATTAAATATTTTGAGAACCTATGGACATGTATTAACACAACATCTATTGTTCTGCCCAAGGTGGAACTATATAAATTAGCTCTTTAAGGATTATAACCATAATTACTTTAAAAAATTTTTCTGCATTTAATATTTTTAATTCTACTACCAGATGTGGTTATATTTTCAGTGAAAACAAACAAGAAGCTTAGAGCAATGTGAAATTCTGTTTTGATTCCTTGAGAAATCAGTTAAAATCAAGGCCAACATAACATTTTCAGATTGTTGTGGGAAATGATTTTATTGTGTCTTGGTGCTGAAATAAATTATTTGGAGCTCTTATTCAGGTTTCAGTAAAGCTATTCTGTCCTGCCTTGTGATTATTTATCAGGAGAATGTATTGTTTTTCATGCATCAAGTTATTAAAACAAAGCTCAACACATGGTTTCATAATTTTGACTGAAATAGTCCATAGAGTACCTAATTTCCTTTGATCCTTTATGTTGAACAGTTCAGGCCGTGGTACTTGCCTTGATAATGAGCCTCCCAAGCGTGACTTTCTTTATCCAGCTGTGGCCCCAGGTCAGGTGTATGATGCTGATGAGCAATGTCGTTTCCAGTATGGAGCAACCTCCCGCCAATGTAAATATGGGGTAAGAAGTCTTCATCCTTATGTTTCGTCATTTATATGTGTTCTTCCATGACACAAATGTTAAGATGGAATTATGACGAATGTCATTTCCCTCTAGAAACATATTTAATTTAAATATGGCTTTTGACACTGCAGTTTTTCTGATATCGTATATACAATTTTTTTCTAAATGTTTGAATAATCCTAAGTTAAGCACTTTTCAGATTTCTTTTGTGGGTTGCACGTAGAATTGCAAGTAACTCTTAACTGTTTTTTCTTTAAATCTTTAATTTACGATGCCAACCGTATTTCATCTTTTGAAATGTTATGGCTTTAGAATCTCTCTACATACCAGTTTTCTGACAGTTTTATAATTGATCTAAAGAGCATTTTTACATTAGCTAGACAGCTTTACTTTACTTTTATTCATAGTTGGTAGTACTAAGTCACTACACGTTGTCTCATCCACTGTCCACATTCCAACACAACAACCAAGCAGGAACAAGATGACATTAGCTCAAGTAGTGAAACAAGGAAAATTGCTATGGTAGAAAAAAAAATGTAGGCATCATAATTTACTCTGCATGTCTGCCTTAAAAACAAGTCACAGTGTCTGCATCAGAAAATGAATACAAATTCTTTTTAAATTTCATAGAGCAAGATTTTAGTGGACATGTTCATATTAAGAACATAATATAAGCATGGTGAATGAAAAAATGGGTTTTAAATATGTCAAATTGCTTACCAGAAAAAAAAAATTCAGATTTAAAAAAAAGTTGAAATCCTTGATTTTGTGTGTGTGTGTGTATGTGAGATAGAGTCTCACTCTGTCACCCAGGCTGGAGTGCAATGGCACAATGTTGGCTCACTCCAACCTCCATCTCCAGGATTCAAGTGATTCTCCTGCCTCAACCTCCTGAAGAGCTGGGACTACAGGTGCATGCCACCATGCCCGGCTAATTTTTGTATTTTTAGTAGAGACAGGATTTCATCATGTTGGCCAGGCATTTCAAACTCCTGGTCTCAAGTAATCCACACACCTTGGCCTCCCAAAGAGCCAGGATTACAGGCATGAGCCATGGCACCCGGCCTGATTTCTATTTTTATACAAATAGTCTTTTAAATCCTCTTTTAGAAATAAGAATAATTAAGTGTTTCGGTAGTATTATACTGAATCATTGTACTGTATGTATCCTCTTTGGGAGCAGAATAAAGGGAAGTGTTTTCTTAAATATCTCTTGGGTGACAAGTATATTATTATTCTTGTTAGGCTCTGGGAGCATATTTGAGCACTAGATTTACAGATTGTGTGTGATTATATGGATATGTAGAGCCTGGTGTAAAACTTTGGCTTATCCTTAATCTTATTTTTGTATGGTTTTAGTTTCTTTTCTTCTTAGATTGTTTATGTTTGAATAAGTCAGTTGAACTTTAATCACAGTCTTTCTATATATACTTACGGATTAATACATTGAAATTCATGATCAAATGGACTTAGAAAATTTCTATTACATTATTCATATATATCTATGTCATTTCTTTGTTAGCAAGTGAAATAGTTCATTACATTTTTGTGTTCTATTGGAAATTGGGTTTTAACTCCACCTGAAAATGTTCGTATTAGATAATTAATTTGATCAGTTTTACAGAATCTATGGCTACAGGATTTCTCTCAAATAAATTAATAAAAAATTGACTTGATTCTTCTTGCTGTATCTTTATATCTAATTGAGTTCAGACTAATTGATTTGAAATGAGATAAACAGTACAAAAATTACGTATTTTTACTTTATATTTCTGATAATCTGCTTGTATATTCTTTTTTTTTTTCGAGATGAAGTTTTGCTCTGTCACCCAGGCTGGAGTGCAATGGCACAATCTTGGCCCACTGCAACCTCTGCCTCCTGGGTTCAAGTGATTCTCTCACCTCAGCCTCTGAGTAGCTAGGATTACAGGCGTGTGCCACCATACCCAGTTAATTTTTGTAATTTTTAGTAGAGATGGAGTTTCATCATGTTGACCAGGCTGGCCTTGAACTCCTAACCTCAAGTAATCAGCCCACCTTGGCCTCCAAAAGTGTGGGATTACAGGTGTCAGCCACTGTGCCCCGCTTGTAATATGTTTTGTTTATAAAGACTTCTGTAAAAGATACAAAATAAAACTGAAAAACTTTGAGAAAGACATTAGCATCTTCCAAACCTATACAGTTGTAAGTATTTTATCATGAATCCTTTGAACTGTGATTTGTAGCAAAATAATGGTTTCCCTGGATTCATATACTATATGAAAATGCTTGTGTTATTTTTTTAAGTGTTCTCTGTTACTAACAAAGTGTATTAAGTCATAATTGATTCTTTACAATCACTCCCATGTCTGAACTGAACTTGTTTAGTTTCGTTGACACAAACCTACGCTGGTTTATATCTGGTGAATCCCTAAAGTTTTAAACAATTCTAAATACTACTTTGGAAAACAATAGTGGCTTTGAAGGTCAGAATCCAGAGGGTAAGGAAATCATACTTCAGGTGGTAGCTGAAGGGAAAAACAAACCAGCCCTGATTTAGGTAGCTGTCTGAGTGTAGCATGCTGAAATGAACACTGAATACAGTTGCTGTAGACTTAGAAGAACACTTTAGAATTTTTGAGAGGGGATATATCTGGTGTTGAAAATCATGAAATGATTCCTCTTTCAACTAGCGGGTCTCTCATGATGACAGGAAAGATTTTAAAGAACTACAGAATGATCCATACTGCAGAAGTGATCAGCTTTCCATCTCTTCCACTTGGCTATGAAGTAGTCATTGCTGGGTTAACAATGATTACATCTGTAGTTATGAAAAATCTTGCCTGAATTGTAAGGGAGTAGATTCATTAACATACATGTTAGGTATGTTTGGAAATTTACATGAAAAATTTTCTGTTTTGTTTTACTCAAGGCAACATTTTTCACTATTATTCTTGCATGTCATCTATTCTTGTTTTGCAGGTGTTCTTAAATTCCTATATAAGTTATGAGGAGGTTGTAATGGCTATAAATATAAAGAACAAAATACAGTACAATATACAGAGTAATATAGTTGTATAATGCAATAATTTATAAATGGTATATAGTTTCTAGTATTTACATAGTGACTTTTCTGAGCTACTTCAGACTGAGTTGATAAAAATCATAATTATCACATCATATTTTATAGGTGAGGAAACTAAAAATACTGAATGTGATATACCTACTCCAAAGTTAAAAAAAAAAGTCTAAATTGATGTCAGTTCTGTTTTCTATTAGGAATACTAATTATGTTAATAAAATAAAGGTAGCTGTATTTTGCTTCAGAAGACACTTGTTATTAAATTTTTATCAGGTAAAATGTCTGTTACTAAAAATCTTCTCAAAACTCCTTCTCTCGTCCCAGTCTTTTTTGGGAGAGAGGTGGTCAGGAGACCTTCTCTAAAATCTTTTTTTTATTTTTTGAAACAGAGTTTCATGCTTGTTGCCCAGGCTGGAGTGCAGTGGCACGATCTCGGCTCACCACAACCTCCGCCTCCTGGGTTCAAGCAATTCTCCTGCCTCAACCTCCCAAGTAGCTGGGATTATAGGCGTGCACCACCACACCCGGCAAATTTTGTATTTTTAGTGGAGACAAGGTTTCTCCATGTTGGTCAGACTGGTGTCGAACTCCCTACCTCAGGTGATCCTCTAGCCTTGGTCTCTCAAAATGCTGGGATTACAGGCATGAGCCACCACAGATGGCCGCTAAAATCATTTTTGGGGACATAAGTTCTCAAATCTCTGAAACTGAGTCCTGGATCTGAGTGAATTTATTTTCTTTTACTTTATATATATAAAAAAATAGGACTTCTTCAAGGTAAAATACAAGTACAGACAAGTAGCCTGCACAGCTAGATTAGATCATCTAAAAATATCTGCTAGCTCTGTTAGTAGGTTTCTAAGAGACCTTGGATGATTCCTGGATGAAAATACATTGCAAATAAAACAGCAGTATCAGTATGTCCAAGAAATGTTTCTTTGCCTTTTTAGAGTAACAAACTCTTTCCAGTAAAACCCTGGGGAATCTGTTGTCTCACTTCTCTTCCATTTCCCATTGGTCTCCTCTTTTTTATTAGAAAAGAATTATAAAAACTGAATTAACAAAAAGCTTATTGCAGTAATAACAATAAGTTTAAATGTAGGAAGGAAGTCATTAATGAGCCTATATAATATAGGGGCTGTGGGTGATCTTTTGACTACTTCCCAAAAAGCACAGATTAATTCAGGGCTCAGCCTCAGCTTTAGCTCTTTATTTCTTTATTCTGTCATTTAAACCATATCTCAAATATTGTTTTCCAGTAAACATAATAATTCAGTATAGGTTAACAATATCTAGTACATAATTTACTGTTAGTCATTAAGAGCTGATTGTTCGTCTACAGGTAGATTTAAGGCCACATTTTATAGACATCATAGCTTTGTTTATTTATGGGAAATGTTTATTGTCTATGAAGTTTGTCACTGTTTATATAGACTTAAGAGTTAGCACATAAATGCGTAATAGTATGTTGTACATGTAACTGCTTATTTTAAATGTAGAACTGAATAATGTTTTATCAGTAGATTATATATCCTGAATTATAAATGGGAACACATGATCTAATATATGATGTCATGATGGATGGAACAGGATATTTTTATCAGAATATTTTAAACTAGAAAAAAATCTGTTCATCATAAACTATAACCTGTGACTTAAAATTGACCATTGGTAGATTTTACTCAGTCTTGGGCACTTTTTTCAGTGAATAGCAGCCAGGTTTTTCTTGTAAACTTCAGATAGCAAGAGTGTATAACAAGCATGCATATTTACCTGGCACATGACAGTCAATAAATGTTTTCTTTTCCTCAATGAATCTCTGTCATCCATGATACTATTTCGGTTTAGCTGATAATGCTGGTACTGCTTTAGGAGAATCTGAACGTTTCGTAGTTTGGGGAGCATATTAAGATATTCCAAGGGTCACATATTGACT